GGCAGAGCTGTGGTGGGCTCACCGGCCGCTCGATGAGGTCGATGCAGGGCTGCAGGTCGAGGCCGAAGTCCAGGAAGGTCCAGGGGATGCCCTCGCGCTGGTACTCCTCCTGCTCCAGCACGAACATGGTGTGGTTGAACAGCTGCTGCAGCTTCTCGTTCGTGTAGTTGATGCACAGCTGCTCGAAGGAGTTCAGCTGCGGGGAGGAGGGGGAGCGTGAGAAGGGACGGGGGCCCAGAGGGAGACGGAGCGTGAGAAGGGACAGGGCGCGGACCCCTCAGCACCGGGAAGGGGCACCGCCCCCCGCTGTGGGGAACAGAAGCCCTGCCTTTCCCACCACAGGCATCTCCGGTCCTAAGAGTGAGCTCCCCTTGCCCGAGCCGGTTTGGCTCAGTGGGTAGAGCGTCGGCCTGTGGACCGAAGGGTCCCAGGTTCCATTCCGGTCGAGGGCATGTACCTTGGTTGCGGGTACATCCCCAGTAAAAGGTGTGCAGGAGGCAGCTGATCGATGTTTCTCTCATCGATGTTTCTAACTCTCTATCTCTCTCCCTTCCTCTCTGTAAAAAAAAATCAATAAAATATATATTTTTTAAAAAGAGACCAAGATCTTGGCACTAGGTATGCTAAAAAAAAAAGGAATATATTAAAATAATAATAATAATAAAGCAGAGCTATTTCCAGTTGGATAGAAAAAAGAATATCAACTATAATTCTGCTTCTGAAAGGCAAAAAAATATATATATATGCAAGCCCAGAGGCCAGGAGGAGATATGCCCAATGCTAAAGGCAGGTGTCTGAGGGGCTGGGATGCCCGGGGACCCTGCTCCTCCCCTGCCACCCCCATGCCCTCTCCCCCCACCCCACCCCCCGTTGGCACGCTGGTGCCGGTCAAACTTTGAGTGGGGATCGCACCTTTTATAACCAGGAAGACGGCGGGAAATGCTATTTTGGAAAAGATTCAGCCAAGGGTGGGATCTGAGAGTGCCCGGCTGGGCAGGGGTGCTCTGTGGGTGGGCAGCAGGCAGGGGGCGTCACCTGTGTTGTCAGGCATGGAGGCCTGGTCGTTGTTTCGTTCTCTCTTCAGGACGATGTTGCCAAACTGGAGCACGGCCGAGACCATCCGCAGCATGGCTAGGGGGGCAGAGAGAGAGGTCACCACGGCTCCAGATTAGCTACCCCTTAGACACGGAGCTTCAAAACCCTGTCAGCCCGGCTGGCGTGGCTCAGTGGTTGAGCATCCACCCAGGAACCAAAGATCACCTTCAGGGCACATGCCCAGTTGCGGGCTGGATCCCCAGTAGGGGACGTGCAGGAGGCAGCCGATCAATGATTCACAGTGAGGGCCCGGCCCGCACACCGGGGCCCCAGCCCGTCCTCGGGGCCACCCCACCCCACCCCATGGTTTAAGAACGAGGTCATGAACAGCAGCCGACCATTCCTCGAGCCCTGGGGTCTGAAGCACTCGGGGCTCATCAGTCCATTCGTCCTCCCCCTACTCCTTGAACCAACTAGACAGCATCACAGTCAAGAGGGTGGGCTCTGGGGCCTGCCAACCTGGGTTCAAATCCTGGCTCTGCCATTAGAGGCTGTGTTACCGCGACATGTGAATAAACCTCTCTGTGCCTCAATGTCCTCATCTGTGAAATGGATCCTAACCGTACCTCAGCAGAGAGCGGAATGCTGATCAGCGTGACCTCCGACCTCTGGTCCCCGCCTCCCCCTGTATGTCTTCATCTTCGCACCTCGAGTGCCCAGCCTGGGGCAGGCAGAGGCCTCTGCCCAAGAGCTGGACCCTGCAAACCTCTAGCCCATGTTGACTCCTTTCCTCTCCCGCCATTGTGAGCCCGGGCTCAGCCTCATTGTCATTTGCTGGGATTATGGCAGCAGCCTCGTCATGACTTGCTGCTTCCACCATGCCCCCTGCACTCCGTTCTCCACATAGGAGATAAGGAGACCTTGCCCGGCCAGCGTGGCTCAGTGGTTGAGCATCCACCTATGAATCAGGAGGTCAGGGTTTGATCCCCAGTCAGGGCACATGCCCGGGTTGCAGGCTCGATCCCCAGTGGGGGGCGTGCAGGAGGCAGCCGATCCATGATTCTCTCTCATCATTGATGTTTCTATCTCTCTCTCCTCTCCCTTCCTCTCTGAAACCAATAAAAACATTTTTTTATAAGAAGATAAGGAGCCCTAGCCGGTTTGGCTCAGTGGATAGAGCGTCGGCCTTCAGACCAAAGTGTCCCGGGTTTGATTCTGGTCAAGGGCACCTACCTTGGTTGCAGGCTCCTCCCTGGCCTGGGCTCTGGTCAGGGTTCATGCAGGAGGCAACTGATCGATGTGTTTCTCTCACATCGATGTTTCTCTCTGTCTTTCCCTCTCTCTCCCACTCTCTCTAAAAATCAATGGAAAAATATACTCGAGTGAAGATTAACCAAAAAAAAAAAAAAAGAAAAGGAGTTGTTGTTTTTTTTTTACAAAAAACAAACAGAGTCAAACTTGCTCCCTGGCTTAAACCCTCACTGGCCTCCTGCTGCACTTTTAATAAAACTCACCTCCTTACTGTGGCCTCTAAGACCCTCTATGATCTATCCCCTCCCAACCTCTCTGCCTGCAGCTTCAACCACCCTCTTCCCCACTCTCTAGCCTCACTGACCTCCTTAATGTTCCCAACTCGCCAGGCTTGTTCCAACCCCAGGGCCTTTGCACGTCCAGGTCTCAACTTGAACATCACCTCCCCGGAGAGGACCTTCCTGACCACCTGGCCCTCTCCTTCATGGAAGGCATCCCCGCCTCGAAGCATCCTGTTTATCTTGTATTATCTGTGTTCCTACCACTGCTTTTATCCCCGGCACCCAGACCAGAGCCGTAACTGGGCCAACACCCAGCAAAAGTTGGTTGAGTGAGCGAGGAAAAACGGCATAAGCCACTGAGACCCGGGACCTTGGCTGGGGTTCTCCCCACGCCCGTCCCCCCGACCCCCCCAGCACCGCCCACCTGCTCCTTGGTCTGCGCTTTCTGCACGTAGTCCCGGCCGACTTTGATGCGGGGGGTGAGCAGGGCGCGGGAGAAGTCCGTCACCCCGAGTCCCAGCAGGCGGCAGAGCTTCTGGGCAGCTGAGGACAGACGGGCACGCGGACCCCTCAGCACCGGGAAGGGGCACCGCCCCCCGCTGTGGGGAACAGAAGCCCTGCCTTTCCCACCACAGGCATCTCCGGTCCTAAGAGTGAGCTCCCCTTGCCCGAGCCGGTTTGGCTCAGTGGGTAGAGCGTCGGCCTGTGGACCGAAGGGTCCCAGGTTCCATTCCGGTCGAGGGCATGTACCTTGGTTGCGGGTACATCCCCAGTAAAAGGTGTGCAGGAGGCAGCTGATCGATGTTTCTCTCATCGATGTTTCTAACTCTCTATCTCTCTCCCTTCCTCTCTGTAAAAAAAAATCAATAAAATATATATTTTTTAAAAAGAGACCAAGATCTTGGCACTAGGTATGCTAAAAAAAAAAGGAATATATTAAAATAATAATAATAATAAAGCAGAGCTATTTCCAGTTGGATAGAAAAAAGAATATCAACTATAATTCTGCTTCTGAAAGGCAAAAAAATATATATATATGCAAGCCCAGAGGCCAGGAGGAGATATGCCCAATGCTAAAGGCAGGTGTCTGAGGGGCTGGGATGCCCGGGGACCCTGCTCCTCCCCTGCCACCCCCATGCCCTCTCCCCCCACCCCACCCCCCGTTGGCACGCTGGTGCCGGTCAAACTTTGAGTGGGGATCGCACCTTTTATAACCAGGAAGACGGCGGGAAATGCTATTTTGGAAAAGATTCAGCCAAGGGTGGGATCTGAGAGTGCCCGGCTGGGTAGGGGTGCTCTGTGGGTGGGCAGCAGGCAGGGGGCGTCACCTGTGTTGTCAGGCATGGAGGCCTGGTCGTTGTTTCGTTCTCTCTTCAGGACGATGTTGCCAAACTGGAGCACGGCCGAGACCATCCGCAGCATGGCTAGGGGGGCAGAGAGAGAGGTCACCACGGCTCCAGATTAGCTACCCCTTAGACACGGAGCTTCAAAACCCTGTCAGCCCGGCTGGCGTGGCTCAGTGGTTGAGCATCCACCCAGGAACCAAAGATCACCTTCAGGGCACATGCCCAGTTGCGGGCTGGATCCCCAGTAGGGGACGTGCAGGAGGCAGCCGATCAATGATTCTCTCTCATCATTGATGTTTCTCTCTCTCTCTCTCCCTCTCCCTTCCTCTCTGTCTGAAATCAATAAAAATATATTTAAAAAATAAAAACATCTTATTCATACACAGGGTAGGTCAAAAGTAGGTTTACAGCTGTTCACATGGAAAATAACACACTAATTAATAAGTGATGATGCAAGAACAAACTCCGTGTGTCCGTGCTCACAGCTGTCAAGCTGCGTGGTCCCCACCCTGTGTATTGCCGCTTCTTTCACACTGAGCTCCCAGCCAACAGCACTGTAACCGAGCCTGAAGGAAGCTCATCGAACACAGATTCTCTCTCCGCAAGGCACATCCCAGCCGTGAGCTCAGGAATGTGGCCAGCGCTCCAGCGCTACGCCTGGAAGGCATTATAGACACACTCACCACCACCAACAAAAGCACAAAAATGCTAAAAACCCAACAGACCACAAAAGGACACTGGTTCACGGGAGGAGAGCTGACCTCAGTGGTATGCACTGCGCAACTCAAAAGAACCCCTCGGTGAATGACCACAAACACACCAGAAGTACTGGTTATAACGCACAGGAGTGCTGGTTATAACGCACAGGAGTGAGTGCCCGGCTGGGTAGGGGTGCTCTGTGGGTGGGCAGCAGGCAGGGGGCGTCACCTGTGTTGTCAGGCATGGAGGCCTGGTCGTTGTTTCGTTCTCGTTTCAGGACGATGTTGCCAAACTGGAGCACGGCCGAGACCATCCGCAGCATGGCTAGGGGGGCAGAGAGAGAGGTCACCGCGGCTCCAGATTAGCTACCCCTTAGACACGGAGCTTCAAAACCCTGCCAGCCCGGCCGGCGTGGCTCAGTGGTTGAGCGTCCACCCAGGAACCAAAGGTCACCTTCAGGGCACATGCCCAGTTGCGGGCTGGATCCCCAGTAGGGGGCGTGCAGGAGGCAGCCGATCAATGATTCTCTCTCATCATTGATGTTTCTCTCTCTCCCTCTCTCTCTGAAATCAATAAAAATATATTTAAAAAATAAAAACATCTTATTCATACACAGGGTAGGTCAAAAGTAGGTTTACAGCTGTTCACATGGAAAATAACACACTAATTAATAAGTGATGATGCAAGAACAAACTCCGTGTGTCCGTGCTCACAGCTGTCAAGCTGCGTGTGCCCCACCCTGTGTATTGCCGCTTCTTTCACACTGAGCTCCCAGCCAACAGCACTGTAACCGCGCCTGAAGGAAGCTCGTCTAACACAGATTCTCTCTCTGCAAGGCGCATCCCAGCCATGTGCTCAGGAATGCGGCCAGCGCTCCAGCGCTACGCCTGGAAGGCGTTATAGACACACTCACCACCATCAACAAAAGCACAAAAATGCTAAAACCCAACAGACCACAAAAGGACACGGGAGGAGAGCTGACCTCAGTGGTATGCATTGCGCAACTCAAAAGAACCCCTCGGTGAATGACCACAAACACACCAGGAGTACTGGTTCTAACGCACCAGGAGTACTGGTTATAACGCACCAGGAGTACTGGTTCTAACGCACCAGGAGTACTGGTTATAACGCACCAGGAGTACTGGTTCTAACGCACCAGGAGTACTGGTTATAACGCACCAGGAGTACTGGTTCTAACGCACCAGGAGTACTGGTTATAACGCACCAGGAGTACTGGTTCTAACGCACCAGGAGTACTGGTTATAACGCACCAGGAGTACTGGTTCTAACGCACCAGGAGTACTGGTTATAACGCACCAGGAGTACTGGTTCTAACGCACCAGGAGTACTGGTTATAACGCACCAGGAGTACTGGTTCTAACGCACCAGGAGTACTGGTTATAACGCACCAGGAGTACTGGTTCTAACGCACCAGGAGTACTGGTTATAACGCACCAGGAGTACTGGTTCTAACGCACCAGGAGTACTGGTTATAACGCACCAGGAGTACTGGTTCTAACGCACCAGGAGTACTGGTTATAACGCACCAGGAGTACTGGTTCTAACGCACCAGGAGTACTGGTTATAACGCACCAGGAGTACTGGTTCTAACGCACCAGGAGTACTGGTTATAACGCACCAGGAGTACTGGTTCTAACGCACCAGGAGTACTGGTTATAACGCACCAGGAGTACTGGTTCTAACGCACCAGGAGTACTGGTTATAACGCACAGGAGTATGTTAGGGTGGCAATCACTCTTGAGACGAAACAACATCGTTGCCCAGCATGAAGGCCACAGCCATAATCACATAAGTTCCGGGAGGTATTTGACACTTTAGCATAAAAGCTTTGTGTTAGCCCTGGCCGGTTTGGCTCAGGGGATGGAGTATCGGCCTGAGGACTGAAGGGTCCCAGGTTCGATTCCAGTCAGGGCACATGCCCGGGTTTCAGGCTCGATCCCCAGTAGGCGGCCTGAAGGAGGCAGCCGATCAATGATTCTCTCTCATCATTGATGTTTCTCTCTCTCCCTCTTCCTTCTTCTCTGAAATCAATAAAAAAAATATAAAAAAAAAAGCTTTGTGTGAGGTGGTTTTGCCCAGCTGTGGGTTGGCAAGGCTAAGCTGTGATGTTCAGTAGGTGTGTTAGATGCATTTTCGATTTATGACATTTTCAACTTCCCATGGGTTTATTGGGAGGCAACCGCAGCGTAAGTCTAAGAGCATCTGTATTTGCCAGTCTGTGCAGAGCTCCAAAAGCGGGCAATGCTGCCCCGGCCGGTGCGGCTCAGTTGGTTGGAGCATCGTCCCGTGCACTGAAAGGTGGCGGTTCAATTCCCGGCCAGGGCACATGCCCAGGTTTTGGGTTCGATCCCTGGCTGGATCACGTGCTGGAGGCAACTGATAGATGTTTCCCTCTCACATCAAATGTTTCTCTCTCAAATCAATTTAAAAAATTTTTAAGTGGGCAATGCTGCCCCCTAGTGTACATCTCAGGAATGTGTAGGACTTGGCTGATGTAAAGTTGGGGGCCATTGAGGCAAGGAGTGGAGTGTTTCTGGGTGTCCCAGGGTGTGGACAGGTGGGGACAAGGCAGACGCCCCTCTGTACTGCAAAGAATCGCCCACATCAGCCCCAGCCGGTTTGGCTCAGTGGATAGAGCGTCGGCCGGCAGACCGAAGGGTCTCAGGTTTGACTCCGTTCAAGGGCACATGACCAGGTTGCAGGCTCGATCCCCAGTAGGGGGTGTGCAGGAGGCAGCTGATCCATGATTCTCTCTCATCATTGATGTTTCTATCTCTCCTTCTCCCTTCCTCTCTGAAATCAATAAGAACATATTAAAAAAAAAATTGCCCACATCCCGTGTGACTCCTAAATGTCCCATTGGGCAGTCACATCTGTGAAGTAATGGTTTGCAGCGATCTGACTAGAATCCCTCCTGTTTTACGTATAAACACATAAGCGTTTGGTTTGAATGCACAGTGAATTTTCCAGGAAGGGGGGTGGGGGGGCGCACTGTGTAATCGGAGGAAAGACTGTTGTTGCTTTTGTTCAGAATTTTATGTAGATTTGGCCAGCATTTCAGAACCCTCTGGCTTCCCACAGCAAAGCTGCGCCCGGCATTTGAGTCGACCTGTAGCACGTCTACAGCACGCTGCCCGGGCGTCCGGAGGGCGACCCAGAGGTACCCACCTGCCTCTCTGGGAAGGACCCGGGGCTGGCCTTGCAGCCACACTGGGGTGAGTCCCGGGCAGATGCCCCACCTCCCTGGACCTCTGTCTCCTTTTGTCAAAAGGACAGTCTATGAAAAGGTGACCCGCTGGCTCCACTCCTTGTAAGTGAAACACAAAATCTACCAACAAACTCACAAAGGTTGTGCGAGCGAGCGAGCAGGCACAGGGAGTGGGAACTAGCGCCACCTACTGGCCGGCGATGAGGTTGATTCTCTACAATTAAAATTAACAGAAGGGGGCGGGGAGGTCAGAGGTGAAACCCAAAAACCCACAAGTGGGTACTTGTTGGTCCTGATGCCAGGTGCCCAGGGGTCATTACCCTCTGCTCTACTTGCACACGTGTTTGAAATTTCCCAAAATAAAAAGATAATCAAAAATATGCAGTAATAAAAAGGAGTGATGCGCCGATACAGGCTATCTCATGGGTGCACGGGGAAACTCATGCTGAGTGACAAGCCAGCCACAGGGGGCCTCTATGATCCCACTGACAGGACCGGCCCAGGATGGGCAAATCCGCAGACAGGAAATGGGAGGGTGACGGCAAAGGGTGCAAGTTACCTCCTTGGGCCACGGAAACGTCTCACATCGCCGGTGGTGATGGACGCACACCTCGTGGCTCGCGAGCCGCAGTTTGCCAACCACTGAACTAGGTGAACGGCTGGGTAGGTTAATCACATCTCACTAAGGCTGGTAAACGTGTAAACAGGATAAAAACAAAGCCTGCACCTCTCCCTGGGTCCCCCCCATCTCCTCTAAGAACTGAGCCTACAGATCGCACTGAAAGCCACGGGCTTGTGCCCTTGAACTAGGTGAACGGCTGGGTAGGTCAGTTACATCTCACTAAGGCTGGTAAATGTGTAAACGGGATAAAAACAAAGCCTGCAGCCCTAACTTTCGGACTCAAGGGTCCCAGGCTCGATTCCGGTCAAGGGCATGTACCTTGGTTGTGGGCACATCCCCAGTAGGGGGTGTGCAGGAGGCAGCTGATCGATGTTTCTCTCTCATCGATGTTTCTAATTCTCTATCCCTCTCCCTTCCTCTCTGTAAAAAATCAATAAAATTTATTAAAACAAAACAAAAACAAAGCCTGCACCTCTCCCTGGGTCCCCCCTATCTCCTCTAAGAACTGAGCCTACAGACCTGTTCACACATGAGCAGGAAGACGAGGGACAAGGATATTCAGGACATTTTTTCGGTTGTCCAATAGCAGTGGGAGGTAGTCTACCTCCTAGGAACAGGGTTTGGAAAAAAGACTCATAGTTCATCTAAACAGTGAAAGCTGCCTTGGCCCAGTGGCTTGGTTGGTTGGAGCATCATCCCATACACCAAAAGGCTGCCGGTTCAATCCCCAGGCAGAGCGGGTATGGGAGGCAACTAACCAATGTTTCTCTCGCACATCAACACATGAGCAGGAAGACGAGGGACAAGGATATTCAGGGCATTTTTTCGGTCGTCCAATAGCAGTGCGAGGTAGTCACCCCAAGGGTCTACCTCCCGCCTCTAGTCTTATGTAATAAAAGCCTACTATGCAAATCAACCGAATGGCAAAACAACCAGCAGAACGACTGGTTGCTATGACATGCACTGACCACCAGGGGCAGACGCTCAACGCAGGAGCTGCCCCCAGCCCGCATGCCCCAGGCCAGCCAAGGCAGGTGCCACCGGGGCCCTCGACTGCCCCGCCAGTCGCCCCACAGATCGGCCCCAAAAGGGTGCCAGGTTCGATTTCTGGTCAAAGGCAACCAATTGATGTTTCTCTCGCACATCAATGTTTCTCTTTCTCTCTCTCTCTCTCCTTTCCTCTCTCTCTAAAAATCAGTAAACACATATCCTCAGATGAGGGTTAAAAAATATCCTATATAATAAAATCCTAATAGGCAAATCGACCGACCGGTGTAAAGACCGGTCACTATAACATACACTCACCACCAGGGGGCAGACGCTCAATGCAGGAGCTGCCCCCAGCCCACATGCCCCAGGCCAGCCAAGGCAGGTGCCACCGGGGCCCTCGACTGCCCCGCCAGTCGCCCCACAGATCGGCCCCAATCGCCAGCCAGGCCTAGGGACCCTAACCATGCACGAATTTCATGCACCGGGCCTCTAGTATATTTATAAACAATGAAAACTTACGCAGCCACAAAAAAGGACTTAAGTTCACCTACAGGGACTAAAACACAATGATGGCCAAAATGCATCATTTGGTGGGAAAAGGGGGGAGCAAAGCCCCCGAGCTCTGGGTAATGAGCTGACTAACCCTACACCGCCTGGGACCCGGAGTGGGGCCGACATGCCAGATGGTGTTCACCTGCTGGTCAGGAATCTCAGGTGTCTTGGGAGGAAGGTCAGGGGGCGGGGCCCACCTGGAGCGAGGCTGTGTGGGACATTTTAAATCAGTACAGAAACATCTTAACATTTGAATCACCAGCTCAGCTGAGCACCAGCCCTCGGCTAGAGAATGCCTGTCATCATGGGAAAAATATGTGCATCTTTCCTAAGTTATCTGAAATATTTCTACAAGGAGAAGCAGGAAGCTTAATGATGGGAAATTCAGGTGGGGGGGGGGGGGGGGGGTGGGGGGG